GTTCGGCGAGACCTCGAAGCATCTTCGCGCCGTCGCCACCGCGGGCCCTCTCGCTTTCCCAGAAATCCTCCTCGTCGTCAAGATCTTCGCCATCGTCGTCGTCTTCGTCGTCATCGTCGTCTTCTTCGTCGTCAAAGTCGCCATAAATGTCCTCGTAGTATTCCTCATGAGTGAACTCGTAGCTTTTCTCCTCGACGGCATCGTCGTCGCTCTCCTTCCCCTCGTCCTTCGTCTCCGCCTCCCCCGCATGCACCTCCACATCGCTCTCGCTTACAAGGCTCGGCAAATCCGAATCGGAATCGTCGCCCATGCTGCGCGAGTGATGGCGTAAGTGAGCCAAGAAAGAACGCTCGAACGAACTGGTCCAGTCAAGAAAGCACACAAAGCGACGGAGAGAGAAGCTTTCAGAAATGAAGAATCTGTTGATGTGTGAAAGCTGTCAAGCTGACGTACAGTTGCTGGACGAATTGACCCTACTAGGCAAAAACTGAAATTGAAAGGGTGAACTCTCGGTGTGAAGTGGTGATGATGGGGAGTGGTCTGTGCATGGATTGTTTCGTGCGACCGTGCGACCGCGCACATTCTGTCGTCATCTTTTCGCGGGGTGTAAGCTTTTCCCCGGCAAAAGCCCCCTCGTCTGTCACCACTGACAGAGCGCCTTGCCATGAGACAGAAAGGACATTTTACAACCGCCATAAGCATTTTACTTGTTGGGGCAGTTTGGGACTGTTTTTGTTAGCATACATTTGTTTTGAGGTGTTTGCTTTCAACTAAAATACAAACGAACGAGAAGGGAAAGGAAAGGCTTAGTCCCTGGTCCAAAAATCGAATATCAATACTTATCATGAATATATCATGTGTTTGTATCGTGATATGATAGTCAGGGAACAATATGTACTATTGACCTACATTTATAACAAATGGTACTATGACCTGGACTTCCTAGAAGGCAAACGTGGTCTCATAACAAATGGTACTCCGACCTGGACTACCTAGAAGGACAGGCCCTCCTTTCCTGTGTCTCTGACCATTGCTTCATTTATAGTGCAGAACCCGAGACCGAAAGAGAACTTGTATAGTTGAAGCATTTCAAAGTACTTCCCAAACAATCCTTAACCTAATGCTCCTCTGGCTGGAGTCTCTAGAGACTTACTCAGCGCAGCTGCATGTGATCCTGTTAGAAGTAGGAAAGGTAAACCACCAAGGACACACCTGCATCCAACGGATCTGGAGTTACCCACACAAAAAACGTCTGAAGAAGTAAAGCACTGTAAAGGGCTGCTCACAGTTGAATCAACTCCTCAATAACCTGTTGGTGTTTCTTGTGTTCAAAATCGCACCCCAAACTCATCCACCGAAATCATCACTACTTCCCCACCCCATGCGCCTTACACCACGCCACCCCGCATCATGCGCGACTGGACCATCACATTTGTCATTGTGGTCGACATGTCCGCCAGCTCAGCAGCCAGCGTGCGCTTCTTCTCCCCGCCGGACATATCCGGATCCGTCATGCACGTGTTCGCAACCGATATAAACTCCTCCGACATTCTGGGCCGTCGCGGGCTGTCACCTCCTAGCCTCTCCTCCTCCTCCTCGTTGTCCTCCTCGCCGTCAGCCTCGGTGCGGGATTCGCCCCCCTCTCTACCGCCGCTGCTGCTATCCCCTGGCGCCTGCTGGTTGCTCCGCGATTTGCGGTTCGAGCGAATGACAGGCGGTCCTAGATCTAGCTCTGCGGCGGCTCCGTCACAACCGTCGTGGATCTGAGGGAAAGGGTAGGGCAGGGTTAGGGAAGGGACTTGCACGAGTGAGGAGGCCGACAGGAGGGAAGAAGAGGGCAGGTGAAGCCGAGATGTGCAAGGTGCCGCACGCGACACGAATCGCGCGTGCGACACGGATCGTGCGTGCGACACGGATCGTGCGTGCGACACGGATCGTGCGTGCGACACAGAGCGTGAGTGCGACATGGACGGTGCGTGTGAGACGGATGCGTGCGACATAGATCGTGTGTGCGACATGGTTGATGCGAGCGGAGACAGTGGTTCTGACGTGGCCCAATCATCCCTCAAGTCGACTCAAAAGACCGCAAGGGGCGCACGAATTCGTAGGTAGACCTGCAGAAGCCTCAACGCTTCCTTTCTTCAACATGAAAAAGAAAGCATCTTTTCCTGGTCACGGCGCGACGTGTACCACAGAATGCGTTGTGCCTGTGAAATCTCCTCCTCTCCTCCATTTCCGAATGATCTAGATCCGACGCACGCCGTGCTTCGCAAAAATGTCGCGACATCTCACCTCCGCCATGAGTCGCAGAAACCCGTCTCGTTGCGGAATGCCGGCGCCTCCAGCGCGCCCAGTTAGCATCATCGCTGCCGCTGTCGCCGCCATTCCAGCGCGCGCGTCGTCTTCCGCGGAGTTTCCGCCGCGACTCGCGCGAAGTGGCGGCACCGCGTCCTGCTCCTCCTCATCGCCAGCAGCCATCGCCGTGCCGGCGGCGGAGGAGCCCGCGACTGCGTCACCCTTGCCGTCTTGTAAAGGCGGAAACGCGCATCGATCCGAGTCAGCGCCGCAACCTCCCCCGCCTCTAGCGGCGCCGCTGACCGTCCTTGTCGAAAAGTCCAACGTCGGCGTTCGCGGCCGACTCCCCTTACTCTCACCGCCGCTGCCGTGAACCCCACCCGCACCCGGCACGGCTTCCGCGCTATTCACGGGGACGACGTGATAGGTGCTGCCGGGTTCGAGAACCTTATCCGCGGGGACGAGGGCGCGTCGCGCGCCGACGTGGAGCTGGAGCTGGTGGGCGGGATACTGGCGAAGAACGGTCGCGGCTGTGAGATCCCCAGGTTGCTCGAAGAGCTCCAAAGAATCGTCTGGGAGGAAGACGACGACGGATGAGAAGGCCATGGTGTTGGATATGAGCGCCGGCGGCCGCGCTGCGATTCACGCGGTGACAGCGCGCCGGTTGGTGACTGGGGTGAGAAGGTGCGAGAGGATGCGTTAGTAGCTGGTGATAGTAGTGCTGCTGGGTTGACGACAGGTGGGCGACGTGGGTTGAATTCGTCGTACCACCCGTGGCGGCACAGGCTGGAATTCTGGCTCGGAATCGCCTCGGGGTTCGCGTTACAGGTGGTGTGTAAACGGAAGGAGGCGTGGCTTCGCTTCGAGATGATGCGATGGAGTTCGTCAGGAAGGAGGAAGGGTGCGTGAAGCACTTCGGAGAGCGTTATGGTGGCAAAGCAGCACGACTTGGATTCGCAGATGTCGTACCAACTTTGAAGTAAGCTGGCTGACAGTGTGAAAGCGTTGGATGCGATGGGACTGTGTCGGTGGGGGAAAGGGACTTGGAACGAAATCACGAGGGAGCGTGGGAGCGTATTGTTACTGTATGGGCCAGGGATGAATCTGGCCAAATCTGCGACCTGGTGGTGAGGACCAGAGGAATGGTGGAAATGTGAATCTTGCTGTACTGCTGCCTGGCACATCCGAGCAGAGAGACGCGGGAATACACTACAGTACAGAGAGGAGAGAGAGAGAGACGCGTGTACGGGAAATCACGAGTCACGATTCGCGAATGGCGTGAACATTGCCAGACCATTGACGCAACCAGGAGAGCAACCAGTTGACGGATTCCGCTTGTCGTTTTCAATTTCCCTGGCAGTGAAGGCAACTTGTAGTTGCGCCAAGTGATGTAGCGCACTGGCACTTGCTTTGCTTTCTAGGAACACTCGCGTAAAGTTAGGAAAAAAACACGGAAGCATTCGCACAGTGACCGATTGAAAGTCAGGCGGGAGACGCGGAAACGCGTAGGAGCTTGAAGAGCAAGGAAGGCAGACAAGAGGGGACCAGACCAGAAAAGACAATCTGAAGGTCCGTATTACACAAGGTGAAAGATTTGAAATACAATATTGTCCCTGGACAACACAATTCAGTACAGAAACGTCTTCTCAAGAAACAAATGCTTGCTTCTAACAACTTTTAGTATGGCTATGTTGTTGTGAAGTGCCTCTAAGAGTGAACAGCTTCGTTAAAGGCTGTTTTAAGCGTGTAACCGGGATGGAGAGCAAGAGGGTGGAGATGTGGTTTGTTGTGAAGTCCTACCACAGCTGGGAGTTCTCCCGTTCCAGAATTACAAGCAGCACCCAGGTTTTTATTTGATAAATGGAGTCTCTGGTGAGAGTTGGGGAGATAAGTGGTGGGAGGCGGGAGGTGGGAGGGAAGGGAAGTCAAGTTCAGTAATCCCACCAAATCAGGGCGATCTTAACTGATGTACCTTGGAACTCATTCAATTACGAGGTTTGTACCTGGTGTGCTTTGGTCGAGGTGCTGCTGATTGGTGCGGTGAAGATCTGAACCGTAACGCTTTGTCGGTTCGACTTCGCTCAGCTGGTCAGTTTCGTACACCCTGTTTCGCGCCACACTGACATTCGCCATACTGACAAGCCGGATGTACTGACATGAATGCGTCCAAATTGGTCCCAGAACATACAATATAAGCACATTTGCCGTATGAAACCGAACGCAAAGACACGTTGTTTTCCATGAACCGTTGTTTACCGTTCTCCCGAAGTGCATATCGGCTACAAGCACCAGCCCGCTGAATCCAAGCACACGTGCGCACTGTAGCCGGTGCTCCCGGTTGTCCGAACTTCGAGAACAAGGTGTAATTCTGGACCTCCCCTCCCTCCCCTCTTCCGAAATTCCACGCTAGCAGTCCTTATCACAGAGGGTGGCAAAATTGGCATCACTCGAACTCGGCATGATTTACGGTTTCGTAGGCAGCTTTCTAAACTGCCACAAAGGATCCTATGGTTGAGGTGGCTTGATCGTGGCCTCAAATTATCGTAACAAGCTAGACCAATGGTCTGCTGCATGCTGGTTCTCCGGTTGCAGTGGGCGGGGGATGTCTTGTTGTGAGGTGCAATTGAGCATTTCGATTTAGGCTGGTGCAATACATCATTGGTCTGAGTTGGAAATTGACTGGCCTGGGATGTACAAGCCATCCGTGCTATAAGACACGACACAATTGCATGTGCGCTGAACAAGAGGCTCTACATTTCACCTACGCTATAGGCTGTATAAAACTTAGAAACATCAATAATGACTGCAATATGGTGTGTGCGTGATTTATTGGCCTTGAGAAATACTATAAATACGTAAATACTTGTTGAATATGGCTCGATAGGGCGTTTTCTGCCTTCGCCTACCTAACAGGTAAGTGTACTATAGCCTAATGTGAATAGTCACAAAGGTTATGGTGAAATCTAGTGGGTACATTGCATAAAATCTAGAGTGTTTACCTAACCATGGTGAACTTTCTAGGTTATCTAACTAATGAAATGGTAATTTTTGTGGATTGTCATAGGGAACATGTTTTAAACGATAATTTAGCATACATTGAGCAACGTTTCTCAATGTTGATGGTTGTTTTGAAAGGGATGTCAGTTTATACCCAATGAATCTGCACGCCCAAAAACGAATATAGGATGGTAGTGAGGACACCCCATGTTGTGATTCCCGCCAGGACCCCTTGCCGAGTCGTTTGAAAGCATGGAAATTTTGGACAACGTTGCGAACCGCGACACCAATTCGCGCATCGACTTGGCGGTGACACGCCTAAACGCGACGTCACCCTTTCTTTTTCAGGCGTTTCGTTATTTCACTATGTGGCCGTCCGAGTTTCGAATCCAAAGATCCCCGCGACTCTCGTCAATTTTGCACTTGCGATAACATCATGCAGGGCGTCCACGCACGCGAAGTGCGGGTGTAGCATGGCCTGAAATTTCGTGTCACGCACAAAAGCTCGATGTAGGTCAGGGTTTTTCGTTACCATCCAGGCATTCCTCGGCCTGCCCCACATCCCGTCGGGTTCCTTAATTCAACATTTCGAGGCCGCATGTAGCTGGACCTTGAGGCGTGCGTCAGTGACCGGGCAGACTTGGAGAACCCAGCACACCCATTCGTGGGTTGACCGCACTGCATGGCTTGCCCTAGCTAAACAGAAATTGGTGAAATGCTCATCGCGCTCCGTTGCCGTCAACACAATGCTGGAATGCGGGCTGCCATGAAATGTTTGACGACGACCCAGAGAAACAAATCCAACCATGACCGGCTACAAAACACCAAAATGGGATATAGCCACCCGAAAATAAACAACCCGCCCGTGTTTCCTCCCTGATATGGAGCTGGAGCTTGGATGGCGCGCGTCACATGAATGGTTCCATTTTCATTTCATTGCACGCAAGCACGATACCGTCCTGCAGATCATGCGCAGTCGACACAACGCCAACTCACAGCGTAACACGAGGAACCCCTCCCTACACCTTGTGGCATCCTCGCGATATCGCCCCGCTACCTTTAGTGTCATCCTCGTGTCTAAGGCTGCTGTGTGGCAACTATGCGGGGCCCTTTTCCCAGTGACAGATAGTAAGCTACCGAAAGGCTTAGACGCTACGCATGCTCCGCTTCCCTGTTTGTCAGGTTTACGAGATGTCGATTAGACCGACCCGATAGTTGCATGCGCTCATTTATCGCACTTATCGCCACTGATAATCCCACCCTTCTCCCCTCCGTTTCCTCCCTTAGCACCATAATATTACGCGGAAAGGGGAGGGGGTTAGAACAGTCCGTGAGAGCAGGAGGCGGATTCATGGCTGTCGGCGGTGCAGGCGGGTTGGTGGCGACAGATTTTTCCATCTTTCCCGCTACACAGAGCCACTATATTCCTGACCAGGGATTGCCAGGGGACTATGGCAGGGGTATCGGTACAGGCAACGGTAACGGTAACGGAAACGGAAACGATGGTTTGTCCACCGCCATGGCTGGAGTTCCAGATTACCGAAGCGCTGGCGATGCAGGTGCTGAAATCCGGTCGCCAGGAGAGGGGAGGTTGTGGAAGCGACGAGCGGGCGACAAGCCGACGGCAGCGTCGCAGGCGACCTTGGCGACGCCGTCGTCAGCGGAGCAGCTGTTCGCGTCTCCGTCGCCATCCAAGCGCCGTTCGCCGCTGCAACTCACGCCTAGTGTAAATCTCTCAATCCTCAGCTGCTTAGAGAGGGTAACGCGGACTCGAGTATGCCGTTCCTTGCACACTGCTTAAAGAGAAACCACAGGCCCTTGTCGAGCGCCGCATCTGTCCTTTCTCTCCTACGTACCCCGTTCTTCAAATCTAATCTCTTTTGGAGAGGTATTCAACAAAGTTTTCTGAGGCGCTTAGAAAATCACTGGGTCGAATTCCTGTTTAAGCGGTTGGGAGATCTGGCCACAGCGCGCTGTGCCGTGCTTGGTGCATCTTTCACGGGCCGCGCTGCTGTTTGCCCGTCGTCTCGTCGTAGCGAGTGCGCGGATGAACATGAAGTTGGGCGTGCCATCACGCGAGCACAGAGCCATTAGGGAGAACCCGCACGCTGTTTTTATTAGGTAGCGGGTCGAGTTATGAAGCGACTGGATCACCCGACATCGCCATAAATCGACGACCAGTTCTTCCCCTCCTCTCTCGCCCCCCATCCCGCTCCCCTTCCCCGCACTCCCGCCGATTCCCCACCAGTCCGCCCCGGCCAGGTCGCGAGGCGGCGACCGCTTCATCCCGAACCGCGGCGCCATGGACCTGGGCGTCGCGCATTTCCACCTCGTCGACGAGCCGCGCTTGCAGCACCAGGGGCAGCCGGGGCACCCCGAGCTGTTCACTCCGCCCCCGCAGCAGCAGCATCATCAACAGCAGCAGCAATCCCCGTCCGCAGCGGCATCCGCCGTTGTCTCGCCGCTTAAAGAGAATTACAAGAAGAAGCTAGCCGAGAGCTTTTTATCGCCTAGTCCGGGAAAAAGCCCCTCTCATCGGGTCAAGAGTGCGGGGGGCGGGGGCAGATGCGGGGGAGGTGGCGGGGGGAGTGTGTGCGGAAGCGGAGTCGCAAGCGGCAGGGGCGCTGGCGGAGCAGGGCTAGGTAGTGAAGACGCGGGGGAGGGTTCTCCGGTTGGGGGGAAGATCTTTGCGTTTTTTAGTTCCGATTCGGGCGGCGGCAGCAGCACCAACTTGCTCTCGGAACGCGCGACGAATCTTCCGCTTCTGGGCCCCGTTCTTCTTCCCGAGTCGCCTTCCAGCACACCGGCGAGGAGATTACGGCAAATATCTCTCGTGAGTGGCGGGCGGCTGGTCTAGTATCCGTCGTCAATCCGTCAGTCAGACAGTCAAGTGCAACCCCTCCCATATCTCTCCTCTCTCCCATCTCTCCCCGCCAATCTTCCTCCCTTTCCTACCCGGCCCGCGCCCCCCCGGCTCCCCATTCCCAACCCCGCTGCCCCCCCCCCCCCCCCCCCCCCCGTGCCACCCCGTTTCTTGGCAGGCGTCGGAGCGCATTCTCGACGCGCCCGAAATAGTCGACGACTACTACCTCAATCTGCTTGACTGGTCGTCGCAGAACCAGATCGCCGTCGCGCTCGGCACGACGGTCTACCTCTGGTCTGCGACGTCGGGCGACATTCACCAGCTCGTGCACGCGGACGGGCCCGACGACTACGTGACGAGCGTCGCGTGGGCCAAGGACGGGCGGCATCTCGCGGTGGGGTTGAACAGCAGCGAGTTGCAAATCTGGGACGCGAGTCGCTTGCGGCAAGTGCGGCGGCTGCAGGGGCACCGTGCGCGCGTGGGCAGCCTCGCGTGGAACGGCCACATGCTGTCGTCCGGGAGCCGCGATAGCAGCATTCTCAACCACGATGGTGAGTGCGGCGTATGACCGATTGTGATTGTCCTGCTCAGCTGATTGTCAGTTCTGCATTATGAACAGAGCTTCGGCGGATGCCTGGTCTGAGATGCCCGTCTCCGCACTCGTCTCTTCCCGCCTTCTCCTCAACCTTTTCCCATCGTTTCTCTCCCCTCGCGCCGCAGTGCGGGTGCGCGACCACGTGGTGAGCGCGCTGCGCGCGCACGAGCAGGAGGTGTGCGGACTCAAGTGGTCGCGGTCCGGGCAGCACCTGGCGAGCGGCGGCAACGACAACCTCCTCTACATCTGGGACAACGCCGCCATTTCCTCCTCCTCCACCTCCGCCTTCTCCTCCTCCTCGTCCTTCCCTACCTCAGGAAATTCCTCCTTCCATTCCTCCCTCTCCTCCTCGCTCTTCTCGTCGTTCTCCTCTCTCTCCGCTTCCTCCTCCTCCTTACCTCCGCTACTCCACTCCTCCGCTTCTTTCTCCCCCTTCGCCTCATTTTCATCCGCCACTGCCGCCGCTGCCGCTTCGCCATTCACCGGTTCCTCTCTCATAGCATCTCTCGCCTCATCCTTCTCGTCCTCCTCCCTCCCATCCGCCGCGTCTCTCGCGTCCCTCCTCGCCTCCTCCCCATCGCCCTACGCCTCCCCTTTCGCCTCCCCGCACTCCTCTCTCTCCCTCGCTCCGTCGTCCGCGCTCGCGCCCCCTCCGTCTCACCCCTCTGCGCCTCCTGCGACCGCAGCCACCGCTCCTGCCGCTGATTCAGCCCACGCAACAACTGGTGTCGCTGGCACTGCCGCTGCGGCTGCTGCTGCTGGTCCTGCTAGTCACTCGTTTCTCTCTCTCACCACCTCGTCATCCTCTCCTCCACCGCCATCCCTCTCCTCCTCCCCCTCCGCCTCCTCCTCCCCGCGCGCATCCTCGTTAGCACCGTCCCTCTCCTCCCACAGGAGCAGGGCGTCTCCCAATAACGGTACGCTGGCCCGCGTGCAGTTTTCCCCATGCTGGTCTCTCCTTCTGTTCTTCCCCTCTACTGCTCTACCCCTTGCCCCTCCATTCTCCTGCCATGGCGCTAGCCCTCTCACCTTTCTCTTTCTTCCTGCACTCCCTCATGCCCGTATTCTCTGCTTCCCACCCCGATGCTTCCCTATTCCGCCTCTCTCCCTCCGCTGATCTCCCCTGTTCCGCCCCTCCTCCCCCCCACAGCGCGCTACCTGCACCGGCTGACGGCGCACCAGGCGGCAGTGAAGGCGCTGGCGTGGTGTCCTTTCCAGAGCCACCTGCTGGCGTCAGGCGGAGGCACAGCGGATCGCTGCATCAAGTTCTGGAACACACAGACAGGCGCGCTCACTCACTCCATCGACACGCACTCACAGGTCATTCCGCCCCCCCTTTCCCCCCCTCTCCTCCCCCCACTTCTTCTCTTCCTCTCGTATGCTTCTCCTCGCATTGCCTTTTCTCTCACTCTCTGCTCACTGCTGCCCAGTGGCCCAGCCTTGCCCTCCTGCACAATAACCCATGGGCGTGCCTCTGCGGTCTCTGTTTTCTTCCCGCCCACTCTCCTCTCCCTGTGCTGTCGCACCTCCACTTCCTCGCATCCTCAACACACCTTGCTGATATCTGCCTTCCCCCCTCTTGCCTATCTCCTAGCCGCTTGCTTCCTTCAACTCCCGCTCTCCTCCCGTCCCTCCTCCCCCTCCTTCTACCCAACCCCGTCCCCACCTGCCTTCTCCTCACGCCTGTGTGTGCGTCCACGTATATATATGCGGCCTGGCAGGTGTGTGCGCTGGAGTGGAGTCGGCACGAGAAGGAGATCCTGTCATCACATGGGTACAGCCTGAACCAGCTGTGCCTGTGGCGCTACCCATCCATGGCCAAGCTCGCTGAGTTCACTGGCCATACCGCCCGCGTGCTGCACCTCGCTCAGGTAACGCCCACTCTCCTCCACCCACCCAGTCCCACCCAGTCCCGCCCAGTCCCGCCCAGTCCCGCCCAGTCCCGCCCAGTCACAGCTCCTACTCTCGCCATCCAATTCCACCACCCCACATGCACCCATTCCCACCACTCATGTTTCATTCGACGAGAAATTTGCACAGGAAAGAAGCGAGCAGCATATGCCACTTGGGCTGTCCAACACGTTTTCTAATCTACAATCTCTTTCTCTCCCTCTGCCTCACATGCGCTTACGCCCCTTGCCAGAGTCCGGATGGGTACACTGTGGTCTCAGCTGCTGCAGATGAGACACTGCGATTCTGGAACGCGTTTGGGGACCCGGATGGGGATAAGAGGAAGGGAGGGGTGAAGGGTGGAGGAAGAGGATGTGAGAGGCGCATTGGGGGAGGAGGGGGTGTTGGGGCCTGTGATGACGACGGTGTTGCCTCTGCACGCTGCTCGTTGCTGCGGTCTCACATTCGCTAGTGCTCATGTCATGTGGTGCTCGCCTGGGTGACTGCACAGTGTTCGAGCTGGCTATCAATGTTAGACCACCAAGCAATTACACTATCGGCGCATGAGATTTTAGGGGAGCTTCACGTCCATCATAGGTATGTGGATGGCAAGCACACGGAGATAGCAAGGGTATAGCTGTGATTCGTACTTGTTCTGCACAAAGTCATGGTAGCGTGGAGAAATTGTTCCATGCTCCATTTATACGCAGTCAGTTGCCTTAGTAGCATGTGCCTTATTATGTTATGGAGATTTTATGCAAGAAATATACAATCTTCTGTTACAGCGTTGTTGGTTAGCCAGCTGTTGGATTCTGCGCCACATCTTTCAGGAAACGTGGCTTCGTAGCTCTGATAACGTGGATACTACTGGGGGTGACGCGATGGTGACGCATTTTTGACAAGGTAGCAAGCGTACAGTGCGTAACATCAAGTGCTAATTTCTGATTGGCCAGTCGACGTTTCACGTGCACAACTGTAGAGCACTCTATTGTGTACACCCCCATCCGCAAGCAAAACACTGCTCCGCACGAGTTTCTGCCGCGCAGAACGCTGCTGGGTTATGTGATAACGCGTATGGGCCCCTTCCTGTTCGCCATTCATGTGCGGTATTTTCTAGGTTGGTAGGAGTGATAGGTGGAGGCTCCGATGGGCTCATTGCTGGATATGCATCGTCTAGTCTGGAATCTTGGAATCGTGCAACTCCACTCTGTTTTTTCTTACCTCGATTTTGAGCCCTGCCGATGATACATGGGTGTGAAGAACGTCACTGCGCTTTTATATTACTCTAATTGGACTCCCTTGGTTAACCCTCTTAGCGTGTCCGCATAATCCTGGATTGCGTCTCTATCAGTGCTGTCGTAATCTTTGTCGAACAGCGAACGACACGAAGACTCGACTCTGAAAAAAAAAATCCTTCTCGGCGTTACGAACGGTGTGAGACGCTGACAAGTCGCAGGAGGTTCATGCGACAACTGTTTGCCTGATGGCGATATCGTCATCCGTCGAGCGACTGCTCACCGTCCAGCACTGTACGATACGGAACCCGGCCGTTCGTGTCGTACGGCCTATCTATTCGAGACGCTCTTGTCCCCCATTTTCCCCAGGCAGTTGCAATGCTTCCTCCTCGGCACCATTGTCCAAGAATCCACGGTTCCACATCCACGAATTCCGTACCCGTTTATCCCCTAACATTATTTTCCCGCCCATTGCTCCCGCGCATGTGTTTTGTGCGTCGCATGCATCGCACGACGCATCGCAGATGACTGGGCGGACGAGATATTTCTCATGGTGCGTCCATATCTACCCTCCTCCCACTTTACCCCGTTCTCTTACTGCGACCCCGCCCATCCGAACCGCCTTGTTGTGTGAAGTTTATGTGTTGTTTTCAACTCGTCATGTCCTTTTGAAGCCTTGCTTGCTTGCTCACTCACTCACTGCAACGCCATCAAACTCATCTCCATTCCATCCCAATCACTACGTGTAAGTGCATGCCAAATCCCACTCACTCAAACCCCCTTCTCTGCCCGCATTACGTCCCTTCCCTGCATTGCGTGCGTGGCGCGCATTCGTTGCATGCCCGTCGGCGGCGGCGGCGGGGGCGTGTGCGAGCAGGGGCAGGAGCCGATAAAGTGGGACCTGGAGGAGATGGAGCGGCACCTGGCAGAACCCAACTTCAACGGCGAGCCCGTCAAGGTGTGCCCCCCCGCCCGCCAAGGTGCGCCCCCCCGCCCGCCAAGGTGCGCCCCCCCGCCCGCCAAGGTGCGCCCCCCCGCCCGCCAAGGTGCGCCCCCCCGCCCGCCAAGGTGCGCCCCCCCGCCCGCCAAGGTGCACACCCCGTCCGCCAAGGTGCGCCCACCGCCAGCCAAGGTGCGCCCTCCGCCCGCCAAGGTGCGCCCGCCGCCCGCCAAGGTGCGCCCCCTCCCCGCCAGTGTGCGCCCCCTCCCCAATCCCCCACCCCCCCCGCCAAGGTGCGCCCTCCCACCCACCCGCCAGCCCGCTCTTGCCACATGCTCCAATCATCCCGCACAGGACGAGTGGGGGAGAGTATGAGGTGAGGTGAGGTGACCTGAGGTGAGGTGCGGTGCGATGGGGTGGAGTACAGCCTCACTGACAAGGCTCTGAAATTATCTACACACACGGTGCTCTAATTCCTGTTGCGTCACCATCATCACCACCACCATCATCACCACCACCATCATCACCACCACCATCATCACCACCACCATCATCACCACCACCATCATCACCACCACCATCATCACCACCACCACCACCACCTCCACACGTCATCCTGTGCCAGGTGGAGATCTTCTACTCGTGGTTCGACAGCTGCTTCTACCCTCTCGTGCGCTCCCATCTGGAGCACCGTGACAAGCTGCTTTTGCCCGCCCTCACTGAGCGAATCAAAGGTGCGGGGGGGTGTGGTGATGGTGATGCTTAGAGTCCCAATTGCAGGAACACTGGAAGCCCACAGATGCGTGCCTGGTCATGGCAAACACACACGCACATGCACACTCGCACGCACAGATACTCACACGTACCTATGTAAATACGTGTCAAAATTCCAGCAGTCATTTCCTGTTAACCCCCCCCCAACCTTGCTTCTCCACCCCCCTTACCTCTCCACCTACACCCCACATCTTCCTCCCTCCCCCCGACCCTCCCCTTTCCGCCTTGCACCCGTCAGAGCGGCCCCCGAACGAGGTATCAGCGCCGCTGTTCCAGGCGATAGAGCTGATGGACGAGGTGAAGCACATGCGCAACGACTTTGACCACGCACAGATGGACGACCGCCCCAATGTCGCTGGTGCGTGCCTTGCCTTGTGGGAAGGGAGGGAGGGAGGGAAGGAGGGAAGGAGGGAGGGAGGTGGTGTGGGAAGGGGGCGAGGCGAAGGAAGAAGAGACAATGGTGGTGTTTTGCCAGGAGAATTTGAATTGCCGGTTCGCTGAGTGTGTGGCTTGTGCGTTGACTTGCTATTGTCTGGTCATACCTCCCTCTTATCTATCCCCAAGTGTGATGAGTCGATTTTTGAGTCGATTAAAAAATCGACTCATCTCACGCTTTTGAGTCGACTCAAAAGTTTACTTGCTGTTGTCTGGTCATACATCCCTCTTATCTATCCCCAACCACCTTCACATGCCCAGCCTGCCCGACCCATTCCCCTGCCTCGTTCATTCTTCCTCCTTCCCTCAGAGGTGTTGAGGCAGAAGCTGACTCAGCTGTCCCGTATCTTCCACCGGCAATTCGACGCTGAAATGGATTTCTACCCTTGTACGTGAGATGGTGGGGGGAGGAGGAGGGAGAGTATGGGGAGGGGTAGTAGGAAGGTGGAGAAAAGGCAGAGGAAGGTCTGCATAAGGAGAGCGTCTCAAAGTTTAAGCACAACCGCCATGCTGTCATGCGGAACAACAGTAGTTCGTATGGTGTTGAAACGGGTCGGGGTTAATATCTGAAGCTAGTTGCTGGTGGAAGCACTTTAAGCATGTGGTGCGGAATGGAGTGGATGGCTAGATATTGAGTGGGTTTTGTTCTGGTGGTTTAGGCTGGTACATGCGGAACGAGCACTGCGACAAGGCTTGATTGCTCAGTGAGATGGTTCTGGCTTTGCAGTCGGTGCAATGATTTCCCTGTTGTCCCCCGCTCCTGCCCCTCCCTCCTCCCCCGTTGTCTCCCCTCCTGTCCTGTCCTGTCCTCTCCTCTCCTCTCCAATTGTCTACTCTCCTCCTCTTCCCACCCCGTCTGCATCCCCCCCCCCAACAGCGAGGGTGCGGCATGCGTTCATGCCCACGGAGGCAGAGAGCATCATAGTGCAGGCGGAGAGCCACGTGGGTTTCTTCCTCGCCTCCACACGCCTGCCCTGGATCTTCCACGGTCTGGAGAGGTGGGCTGTGTGCTGCTTCAGTGCGGACTGCCGGTGGTATGCAAGTGCACGGGCATGTGTGCATGCGCACATGTGTGCGTGTGGCATGTGTGTGCATGTGTGCATGCGCAGCGTGCATGCATGTGTGTGTGTGCATGTGGCTTGCAAGATTGCATATGTGCTTGCATGTCTGCTTGTGTGTGCGTACGCATGCATACATGTGTGTCTCTCTCCCATCTCCTCCAAAGCACCCGCTCTTCACTGCATGCTAAAACCTTTCCCTCTCATCATCCTGGCCCGGCCCTTTCCATACCTCATCTCTCTGCCCCCTTCCCAGGTGGGCAAGTCCAGGCAAGCCTGAAAAGTTTTTGGAGCGGTTACCGTGGGTGCACAGGTTGCTGCTGGAGTACTGGTGGGAGCCGGTGTACCTGCGCTGCAACTGGCTGCTGCTGCAGTCACTAGCAGATCCAGTGGAGGAGGATAAGCTGTGACAAGGTGTGAGAAGAAAAGCACCAATTTTTCCTCAAAAGCTGGCTACTGCTGCTAACTGGCTACTGCTTCTGCAGTCACTTGCAGAACCCATGGAAGAGGATGAACTCCGAGAGGCACGGTGTATGGTATACGCCAGTAGAACCGCACCTGGTAGTGGGATATACTGCAATGTAGCGAAACAACGTGTACAGTGAGAGGGGATTTGTTGAAAGTTTTGTCAGCAACATGTTATAACCTGGGGAAAAAAAAAATCAGGGACGGTGTGATGTTACTCAGCATCATCGCGAGGGAGCAACTTCCAGATTCAGCAGGCAAAAGAGCAACATTTGGCGTGTACTCTCTTGGCATGTCACATCACCACCACATGGCAACATCACTATAGTATGAGGATTCAAGGCCCTAGTTAAAAAACCAGCGACCAGAGGTAACTCGTCTACCTACGCATATATACGGTACAAATGAGAAGGGCTGGAGAAAACGAGGGATCCATAGACCTGCATGACAATTTCCCTCACGAGATGTGAGGTTGACGCTGGACACCAATACTGATTGATGCTGGCAGGACCATTGGAAGCAATGGCTGCAGAAGGCTGGAGCATAAGTTCTGTAGATTAAACATGACAGCAGAGCATAGAAGGGACATGAGGTCCTGGAAGCGGAGATGATCCCTTGGCTTCAGGGACAGGTTTGTCGGTAGATGACAACAGGGCAGGGGCTGTGGTGCGCGCAGTAGTCAGAGACGCTGCCCATCATGTGCTTCAGTCGGTTGAGCGTGCCCCCCTTGCGGTTCCCCACCACCACCAGATCCGCATGGCTCTCCCTTGCCACATCCACGATCTTCTCCCTGTGTAGGCACGATGGCAAGACAGCGTTGGGAGGTGAGCATATCAATTGTAATATAGAGGCATCTGGGCTATCGCTCACTGCTGCATTGACATGATTACCTCAGGTAAAGCGAAAAGAAGAATGCAGCGGAAGGAAAACTCATATGCGTCGCACATTTGCGTTATGGCGTCGCAACAATGGTAACCGCTCTGACACCGCGTCGACGATCGCACTCCCACCTGCCATGTACCATCGGTCGCACGCACCTCGGATCGCCGTCGGTGGACACGAGCGACACGGATGCGACGCCCGCCTCGTGCGCCTTGGCCTCGAGGTCCGCAAGTAGCTGCCGGCTTTGCTCGCGCGCCTTGCGCTCCCACATGTTCGCCTCGTGCGCCGATGAAAACACGCGCTCCGAGCCGGGAACTGTTGGGGAAGGGAAGTCGGAGGAAAATGAGGAAAATATATCAGGAGGTAAGAATTGGGAATGTGGTATCGTAGGCAAAAGTGTAAAGTGTAAATGCAGGATGCGGCGGAGGTCATCCCTGCGTGTGTTGGGTTGACGTTTAACTTACATGGCTGCGCGTGTCGCACGTTAAGAATGACGAGTCTGTCCTTGTCCTTGCGCATTAACTGCGACATGGCGAATTCTAGCATCTGCTCCGTGATCTTGCCCTCGTCGATCGCCACCAAAACCTTCCGAGGGGACTCCTCGACGTGATTGCTCGCCATGGCGTTTTTGCTGTCACTTTCTAGGTAAGATACTTTTTCGTAGAATAAGCTGCGAAAGTTTGCTGAATCGGCGTCTACGATGGAAGCTTCGAAATGTGAGGGCGCTGCAGTGCCTGAGATTTCGCAAATGCGGGGCTCAATAGCTTTTTCTGCTGAGGAGAAATGGCAAGGTTGGTTTGGGTTTCAGTCACCGCGGATAAGGTCTGTGTTGATTGGCTTGCTGGTTGTTGGTAGGTAAATCACACAGGCGAGCACGGCCCGCACTGTATTTTCTCTGTCCTTGCCCTGGCTGGAAACATTACAGTGCGGTGCCAGGTGCGTGACGGGCACCTGAAATGCTAGTCACAACTTCGGCCAAGTGAAAAAAGTCAGCCCTGAAAACAAATTTGGGCAACAAATTCGTGTGGGATTGGGCGCCGCCGAATCCCGAGCCGTCAATGACCTTGGCAGCTCCAGCAATGCAAAGCCCTGCTACTGTCGAGCCATCGCACGTGCTGCTTCGCTGGACCTGGGGAACTACAGTTCCGCACCTCCCTTTCAGTCACATTTGTTATCGTCAACGACCCATCAACGCTACTTTACCACAGCTGCTCCTCGACAGCGAAGTCTCCGCTCTGTACAATACTCCGTATTCACGTTACGCACAGCACACAGAACACTAAAGTTGCCATCATACCATTACTACAAGCCTCTGACATGACATGGCATCCAATAGTAAGCAATGGTACCTCCATATATCAAACACATGCGAAATGAAACTACTGCAGCATCATAAAAGAAGAAAAAAAAAGGATGAGACTCTCGTAAGGAGTGAAAGACGTGGCACAGCCTCAAATCATCTTCCCCTCACAAAAACAAGAATCCATTCTGCAGTATCTGAAGCTCTCGTTATGCAGGCAGGCGGGGTCTAGTCATACTGCAACATGGCACACAGCAATATGGTCAGTAAAGCAGCAGGTATAGAGGAACATAGCTTCCGTGTACTATGCAAGTTAAAACACCAGACCTTTAGGATGACGAAGACGGCATAGAGAATCCCTGGGATGTATCCAAGCAGAGTCAATAGCACGCATATCCAGAACTCGATTTGACACTCCCGTTTCAAGAAGACACCGACTGGAGGCAGGAGGATTGCACATAGTACCGAGCAAACATCTATTGCTCTCTCGGACCGCCGGGACCTATCCATCGTATAAGAGGGAGAAAGAGCTCTAACCAATGATGTAGAGACCAAAAGCCAGAGCAATTGCCCGAAGGAAGATTGCAATGAAAACTAGCTGTTGTGATATGAACCAGAAAAGCACGAGGTAAGAAGGCCCGGTCAACACAAGTCGATGAATAACCTCCTCCTGATTGAGCAAGAGAACCACGCTTTCTGTCGTACAGAGGAATTGACTTTCGGACATGATGCGAAATGTCTGGTTGCGGAAATTTGCTTGGAAGCGCTCGCCATCCTGTGCCAGCTGACGGATGCGGTATGGTCGAGAGGCCTACCGCCATCGGCGGCGTAAGAGCAGCATGCATGGCGTTGGTGGATGTTATTGAGTCACACGCCGTCCATGCAGCAGACTGTGAGACCATCACAGATATACGATTTGAACTACATTGAGTGAAACGCGATTCAAGCCCTTAGTGACCGAGATGTGTAGGTGAAATATATGTGAATTCGAGGCTGGGGGTAATGGTGTCTTCCACAATTCTGGGAATTGCAGGGTCTCCGAAGCTTGTGGGGACGAAGCACGTGTCGGGGGATTGGATCTGGCACCGACAGCAACGTCCAGAAAGCGACACGCCAACGCGAACTTCCCAGCTGGACACGTGGCGTAGGTCGAGGACCTATTTTAATTGAAACACGTCTGGATCGGTTCAGTTACCAAGTATTTTCCAACATCTGATCGTTTCATTCTGACAAAATGAACCCCCTTGCTCCTTCCTGGTGCTCGCCAAATATGTAATGTACTTGTTCTGATCTGTCACTTGAAACAGGCTGTGCAGAGACGTTACAGCACTCCCGTACTGTACATACGGCCCAGCAGCTCCCAGCCAGCCAGCCACAGCCGAATACACGCCTGATCGACATTCTCCCTCGGGATTACCTTCTGGAAAACCCAACCTTTCACCTCCTCCTATCCCCTCCTTTCACGTCCCCATTCCTCCTCGATCTCATTCTGCCTTCGTTTGCTATCTTTCACCACCAGCTCCCCGCGCCATCCATGCCGGCTCTCCTCCTCTCACAGCCCTGTGCGCGCATCACATCGCTGCACGCACGAGCTACCGCGGCACGCGCTGCGCGCCGAGCATTCGTTGTCACTCCCGCGTGCAGCAGGCGACGAGCATTCTCGACAGCGAGCTCGTCATCCTCCCCGTCAAGCTTAGTCCCGTCAGCGTCAGCGTCAGTTTCGTCGTCAGCGTCAACATCAGCCGATCCTCCGGCCGCCACGGGCAAAATGAAGCGAGTCACGTTGGGCAGCTCGGATCTCTCCGTTTCACAGGTAAATAGCGTTTTGCTAGCGAATATGTCTCGCTCAAACACCACTGCCATTTTTCGTCGTCGACTCGTGATCTGCTCCGGTTGGCCTTCACAAGCCCAGACCGTCACCCTATCGTTAGTCCGCTGACACACACGTCACCACCTTTCGTGTCGACTCCAAAGCTGTTTCTCAAAATCGTCGTCTTTGTTGACTGCGGAAGCTGCAATGCATGCTTCGCCTTCCGCGTCGCATTCGCGTTCTGCTCTTTCCCATCCCTTCCTCCCGTCTCTCCGTCCCTCCGTCCGGCCGGCCTCTATTGGGTAACCCTCGCTTTCCTCCTCCCCCGCGCACGCGCGTATGGTGCGAACGACAGGCGTGCTTCGGGCTGATGACGTTCGGGCAGCAGAACACGGAGGAGGAGGGGCACGCGCTGCTGGACTATGCGGTGTCGCGCGGAGTCAACTTCGTGGACGTTGCCGAGGTCTACCCCGTGCCCATGCGCAGGTGCGTCCATCAGCGCGCTGAGCGCCCATGCGCAGGTGCGTCCATCCCCCCGCTGACCGCCCATGCGCAGGTGCGTCCATCCGCGCGCGTCGATCAGTGCGAGTGAACGCCCATGCGCTGGTGCGCATCGTGGGTCACAATGTGATGCATGAAGCAAAGTGAAGAGGACGGAGTATGGAGCAATTTACTCTAATTTCAAGTTCTGAACGATTCGGTGTTCGCCGAATTTTGTCTCCAAACACCGAATCATTCAATGCTCTTTTTCACGCTCTCCTTTCTTTCCACTCTCTCTTCCCTCCCCACACCTCCCTTACCCTCTCCTCCCTTCTCCTCCAACCCCCTCCAATCCAATCTCCCTGCTGCGCCATCTTCCCGGTCCACCAGCGAGACAGCAGGGCGCACGGAGGAGATTCTGGGCACGTGGCTCAAGAACAAGGACCGCTCCTCCATTATCGTCGCCACCAAGGTAATCTATACCCCCTTCTCACCATGCTTCTCGGTCGCTGCGCTTGTGTGTTGCTGGTAGTCTGTATGTCGCTAGTGCTGGACTCAGGGAATACAATTAAGACGGTGCAAGCGGAATAGTTTTTGTGCATGGGGGCGTGGGTAGGAAGAATGTGCAGTGCAGGCAAGCACAGGAAGAAACTGCCAGCCATGCGGATCATCCTCATTCCTGACTGGAAGCCTTTCTCTAACCCTATCGCCTCCCCTCTTCTCGCTCTCCCCACTCCCCTCTGCCCTCTCCCCGCTCCCCTTTCCCCCCCACTTCCCCCCTCTCCCTTCTCCCCTCTCCCATCTCCCCGTTCCCCCCTCCCCTCTCTCCTCTCCCCTCTCCCCTCTCCCTCTCCCTCTCACTCCCCCCATGGCGGGCAGGTGGCGGGGTACAACCCGGCGAGCTACACCCCGGGCAACAGGGAGCAGCCGCGCAGCATGGAGCTGGCGGACTGCCGGCTGGACAGGGAGAGCATCCGCAAGGCGTGTGCTGCCAGCCTCAGGCGCCTGCAGACCGACTACATCGACCTCTACCAGATTCACTGGTGCGCGTCGAGTCACGGTACTTAAGAGCCCAATAAGGAATCATGTCAATGGTCAGCTCAAGAGGTGTGACTCCAAGGTGACCTCAGTCACGGGTGGACTCGAGAGCCTCAGGCGCGCCTGCAGACCGACTACATCGACCTCTTCCAGATCCACTGGTGCACGCTCGCTCCTTTGCGTGCTGCTCCTGCTCCTGCCGTCATCCCCTTTAATCCCTTTCGGCCCCTTCATCCCCCGTCACCCCTCTTCCCATCCCACCACCTCCTCTCCTCCCCACCAGGCCGGACCGCTATGTGCCCAAGTTTGGAGTGACGCAGTACAAACCGGAGAAGGAATACCCGTCCATCCCCATTGAGGAAACCGTTGCAGCCATGGGGGAGCTAATCAAAGGTGAGAGAGAGAGTGACACACACCGCTCACTGTCAGGGGGCGCTGGGTGGGGGCGGCTGTGGGTGGGGGGGACGCAGTAAGGCTGGTGGGGTGTGGGGTGAACGCTAGGGGCGATGGTGGTCAGGGGGCTTGTGCAGATGATGGGGTGCAGCAGAAGGGGCATGATGTGCAGCTACTTGTTTGATACTTGCAGCGGAGGTGACAGGGCTCCCTTCCTTCTGAGCAACAAGCCTACTTGTGAGGCGCCTCAAATCTTAATTCGTGTCTCGCCCCTCGCCCCTTGCCCATCCACCACACACACACGCCCCTCTTATTGCCCGCGCAGAGCACAAGATCCGGCACTACGGCCTCAGCAACGAGACAAACCAGAGGGCACGCCTTTTCGCCCCTCACTCATTACCCCTCACCCATCCACCATGCATGCACACGCCCTGCTGTCCCTGCAGAGGGCAAGATCCGGCACTACGGGCTGAGCAACGAGACCACATTCGGGGTGTGCGAGTATGTGCACGCGGCGCGGCGTCTGGGTGTGCCCCCCCCCGTGTCGATCCAGAACAGCTTCTCCCTGGTGCACCGCTCCTTTGAGACTGAGCTTGCAGAGGCCTGCGCGCCCAGCCACTACAACATTGGGCTGCTGCCCTGGAGCCCCATGGGCGGTGGTGAGTGCATGTCAGAATGTGAGAGCGGCTGGTCTTTCGTTTGCGGTTGCTGTCGAGTTGCTGTCGAGTTGCTGTCGAGTTGTTGATAGGTTGCGGGCGAGTATCTGACGCCACTGCTCCTCTGGCAGGACTGTATGTGAGTGCGTGGAGGGTGTGAATCGTGTATGCGCTTATGCATATGCCTGCACAAGTGGGTGCATGGGTTGATGCATGTGTGGATACATGGCGAAAGCATGTACGGATGTCTGCGTTCCCATGCCTTGCGGAAGCATCACACATGTTGCAACCTAAACAAGCACTCAAGCCCTCCACTTCCTTCCTCTCCCCTGTTCCCCTATGCTCCCTCCCACCGCCCTGCTTCACCACACAACCCGCTTCCCCACACAACCCGCTTCCCCACACAACCCGCTTCCCCACACAAACCCGCTTCATCAACTGAGCAGGGGCGCTATCGGGCAAGTACAACGGAGGCAAGAAGCCGCCTGGTGCGCGCTTCACCCTGTTCCAAGGCTACCAGGAGCGCTTCACCACAGGGGCCATGGCTGAGGCCTCCCAGATCTACACCGACTATGCTGAGAGTGTCGGTGAGTGGAGGGAGAAGTCGTGCTGAACGAGGAGAAGGGCGAGTGTGGGGAAGGGGCGAGTGAGCAACAAGAGGGGTGCACGTACATGGTTTTCCTTGTTGTAATCCCTCCGCAATCCCTCATCCCCCTCTTCCTGTTTCCACCTCTACTGCTTCCAGCCCTATGCCTTGCACAGCCCGACCACCCTCATATTATCTCCCCAGATCACAAAGCTTTTCCACCTGACAGCGCTCATCTCCCTCTTTCCTCCTCACTTCAACCTTGGTCTCCCTCCTCCCCTCACCACCCCCTATCCTTCTCCTCCCAATCTCCTTTTCTCCTGCTCACCTGTCCCCTCCCGTCCCCCTGTACGAGCAGGCATATCCCCAGCGCAGCTGGCGCTGGCGTGGTGCAAGTCGCGGTGGTACGTGACGTCCACCATCTTTGGCGCCACCACAATGGAGCAGCTCAAGGAGAACCTCGGTCAGTGCATGTGCATGCTCACACTGCACAATGCACATCCACGCCCCTTGGGTTGGCGTTAGACTGTGGGGGGGGGAAGGGCTTCGGCTGGGAGGGTTGACCTGGGTACCCGTGTGCTGCTGTGTGCTTTTCTGATCTTGCGTGTTGTTTCTGCGTTGTTTGGTTGGTTTGGTGTGCATGCTTGGTTGTGCTGCCGACCTCTCCGTGCTTGAGTGTGTGTTGTGCGGTGGTGGGGAAGGGGGACGTACACACTTGCCCTGCGTCTCCTCATGCTAACATGTTTGTACCCCTTTTCCATTGTATATGCGAATGTGTGAGCGTGTATTCAGATGCATTTGAGCTGGATCTCTCACCTGAGGTGCTGGAGGGCATTGATAAGATCCATTTGCAGAAGAAAGACCCTGCCATGCTCCTCTAAGTGCATTTACAGGCCCCGCATTCGATTCTCTAGTTCACATGCACCGATGCTGTTCATCCCTCCCTTTCCAAGATGGAGAATGGTGAGGAGTGGGCACGAGGATGAGAGGGTAGGCATTGGACTGAGATGCGTGAGTTGAAAATTACAGTACATGGCCATAACAGCCTGTATGTCTTGCAGTAAATTATTTGGTACAAGCAAGGCTCTACGCAAACGTATGTGCAAAGTAACCCCTAAGAAACATTTAAGAGTGTTAAGAAAATGGGTCAATTACAGCAATTGAAACTAACCGTTACAAGGTCATCGGCCACGAAGTGTCAGCCTAAGAATCTTCCTGCGCAGCTAGGCCAAGGATCTCTGGATCGCATCAAAGCAGCAGCCATAGATTTCAGAACCTGATGACCTCGGCCCATTCTCCCGAATTCCTCCTCGACTGGAGATTAATCGCTCTCCCAATTTCGAAATTCCCCGGAGAATATTGACAGGCCTTGAGTGCGGTATCGCTGGGTTGCTCGGTGGCTAAGATTCCTCGCCTTCAGATCAGTCCATCCTTACTTGGACGCATTCGGTCACTCCTTGGATGCCGGTAGAAACTCAGTTATCTGGTCAGTGTTTTCCCAGTAATATTATCCATGCGGCTTGAGTGATCGATGTCGTGGGTCACGATGATCGGGAGGTGCAATGTCCGTGGCCTCGTAGGGGATCCCCCACAGACCACACTATCACCAGCTGCTGCTGCGGCAGCTCTTCGCATTTAGCCTACCTCTTACCTCCTTTGAGAGTACGGCCTCCATTTTGGCACAAGGGCGTTACTTCCGCAGGCGTTTCCCGGTGCGCCTTACATACCACTTCTTTCCTAGCCATACTGATCCTGCTGCTGCGCGTTTCGTCGCTTCGATCTGGCTGACGCGGCAGCCATGGCGGCCCGTCCAATGACACCAACGGCTAACGGATCCCAGTCGCAGCTCCCCAACGGCACCGGTCCATCTGCCGCCGCCTCTACCCCGACTTCCGCATCCGCCGCCACATCCGCCGCCGCGCCGTCGCTCGCGGAGATCCGCTCGCTGACCGACATCGGCGCGATGACGCGGCTGCTGCACGAAACGGTCGCGCGCGAGCGAGATATCGACAACGAGCTCGCCGCGTTGCTCGCCGCGAGAGGCGGGCTGGAGCGGCGCCTTCTGGGCCTGCACAAAGCCGCCACTGACGTCCTCGAATTAGTCCGCACTGACGCCGATGCGGTTCTCGCGTCGGTCTCGGGTACCAGCCAGCTCGCGTCTCGGGTCAGCGGGAGCGTCCGGGAGCGTGACGCGGCGCAGTCCCGCGTCGCGACCACCATCGCGCGCATCGACGCGATCGTCGACCGCAGCAACTGCATCACCGGCGCGCGGAACGCGCTGGAAGCGTCAGATTACGAGGCGGCATCGCGGTTCATAGAGACGTTTCTGCAGCTTGACGAGGAGCTGCTCCACCCCACCACGCCGCGCTCCCCGATCGCGGCGGCGGACGCAGCGGCCGCGGCGCTGCTCGGGCAGGCGCCTCCGCAAGCGCAGGCGGGGGCGTCCCCGCATGCGATTGACTCGCAGGCGGCGGAGACTGCGCGGGAGCAGCGGAGGCAGCTCATGGAATCGAAGGTTAAGCTTGAGGGGGTGATCCGCAAGCGGTTCGCGGCAGCGGCGGACGAAATGGATCAGGCGGGGGTGGAGCGGTTTGTGCGCCTGTTCCCCCCGCTGGGGCTGCAGGCGGAAGGCTTGCGCGCGCTCGTGGGGTACCTCCGCAAGGTCGTGGCGGTACGCGCGCGTGAGCAATTCGCGGCGCTGCTCTCGTCCCTCGATGTTGCCGCCAGCACCGCCGGCGGCGGCGGGGCAGCCGCCGCGATGCTTGCCGTCTCCCCGCAGGCGGATTTCGCGGAGGCGCTCACGGCGCTTCTCCGTGACGTGGCGCTTGCTGTAGAGAGCAACGAGGAGCTCCTTAAAGCGGTCGCCGGCGAGGACGGCGTGGTGGCGGCGATTAAGGAGCTCCAAGCCGAGTGCGACGCGCGATCCGCCGCCATTCTTCGCAAGTACGTCGAGCACCGTCGCCTGCCGCGCCTGGCAAAAGAAGCAGCGGCGGCGGCGGCTGCGGCGGGGTACACACTGGGCAGCATTGGCGGCGGCGGCGGCGGCGGCGGGCACGGAGGGGGTTTCAGGGCGGCAGCGGCAGTAGTTGCTTCGGACGGGTCGGTGGTGGGACCGAATCCTCAAGAGGTGGAGGCGTGTTTGGAGGAGGCGCTCTTGCTCTCCCAGCGCAGTCACGAGTACGCGCGGTTCATCGCCGCAAAGCTTCGCGACGCGGAAGCGGCGGGCGCGGGCGTCTCCCCGCGCACCCTCACCACCTTCGCCAGCTTCGCCGCGCCCAGCGGAACCGGCGGCGGCGGCGGCGGCCCCGGCAGCGGAGGAGGAGGCGGGGGAGGGGGTGGTGTGGGCGGCGGCGCGTTCGGGAAAATCCTAGTGGACGTTATGGGGTTCTATGTGACTTTGGAGGAGTACTTTATGGTGGAGAACGCTGGGAAGGCTATTAGGATAGATGAGCCCGTACCGGATTCGTTCACCTCTTCTATGGTAGACGATGTGTTCTTTATTCTCCAAAACGGCACGCGCCGCGCCGTCGCCACGTCGTTCCTCCCTGCGGCCGCCGCCGTGCTAGCCGCCACCGCCGCCGTCCTTCGCGCGGACCTCCGCGACGCGCTGCAGAGGAGATTAAGAGAGCCCAACCTCGCGGCGCGGCTGCTGGCCTCTGTGGCGGCTAGTGCGGCGGCAGGCGCGGGCGGGGTGGCGGGAGTGGCCGGGGGAGTCGGTGGAGGGGCGGGCGGGGTGGGGGGTGGAGGGGGAGGGGGAGGCGCAGGGGGGATGGGCGCAGGAGGAGTAGGTTCGGAAGCGACACTGGCGCTGGCGCTGAACAACGCGGATGTGAGCGCGGAGTATGCAATGAAGCTGAAGCAGGAGGCGGAAGAATACAGTCTGGAGGTGAGCGGGAGGACCTAGGGGGATGGAGATAAGGGCCGGGGATGAGGCACTGGGAATGAGGGGTGTGCATGTGCACATGTCTGTGTGTCTGTGGGTGTGTGCATGCCTATGCGAATGCGTGTGTGTGCACGTGCGCTGGCACATCTGCGTGGGTGTGTGAATTCCTCATCTTGCGACTTGTGCTGAGCTGTTCTGAGACGCCGCATAACTCGTGCTGCAACAGGGTGCTCATACCCCGGGGATGAGAGCAGGAGGGGTTGAGGGTGTTCCAGTTGCAAGCGTGTCACTTGCGTGTGTCCAGGCAAGCGAGAATACGAGACGAGGAGAAGAGAAGGTGTTGTTTTAGCTGTCATAAGGGGTCTGGGAACGATGAGCGTGGGAAAAGTTACTGCGTGCCGCTCATTTGGAGACCACACATCAGGACGCACTCCCTCCCTCTCCTCCCTTTTCCCTCCTTCCTCCCCTCTTGTCCCTGCCCCCTTCCCCCTCCCCTCTCCTACCTTGCCCAGTCCCCTCCACCCTGACGTGCTCCTAGTCCTCTTTGCTCAGAGATCATCCAAATCTTCTATACCATTGCTTGCCTAGCAGCAAATACAGACTCCACACCATCCCATGCTCTGGAATAAAAAACCCTACCCACTTTCCTGCCAATCACACCCCATCACCCCACTGTCCCCTTTTTGGATCCTCACCCCCACCCCTTCACCCTGGTCCCCTCCCCGCCCACCAGGTATTCCCTGCGCCAGCAGACAGGGAGCGTCTGAAGCCCATTCTCGCAGACCTGGGGGAGACCAGCGCAGTGTTCCGCCAAGTAGCATCCACAGGTCTGGAGCAGCTGGCCAATGGCATCGCCCCGCGCCTCCGCCCCGTCCTCGACCTGCTTGCCTCCTCCATCTCCTATGAGCTCTCCGAGGCAGAGTACGAGGAGAGAGAGGCCAGCGACCCCTGGGTGCAGCGGCTCCTGCTCGCGCTCGAGGCCTGCCTCGCGCCGCTACAGCCGCTGCTCACCGCGGCCAATCATGACGGGCTGGTCGGGCTGGTCACGGACATGGTGGCGCGGCGGGTGGAGGCGGCTGTAGCGCAGAAGCGGTTCAACCAGCTGGGCGGGCTACAGCTGGACCGGGAGGTGAGGACGCTCGTGGGGCATCTGTCAGCGCTCACCTCGCGGTCGGTGCGTGAGAAGTTTGCGCGGCTGACTCAGATCGCGACAGTGCTGAATCTGGAAAAGGTCGGGGAGATTTTGGACTACTGGGGGGAGAATGCAGGGCCGATGACGTGGAGACTGAGTGCGGCAGAGGTGAAGCGGGTGCTGGGGCAGCGTGTGGACTTCCGGCCTGAGGCCATTGCCAACCTGCAGCTGTAGCTGCTAGAGTGCCAGGCTACCAGAGCTGCTGCTGTAACAGGCAGGTGTAGCTGTTAATCTGTAGTGCTGAGTTGTGGCGAGGACCACCAGGGTGGGCGGTGAAGCGGGTGGACTTCCGGCCTAAAGCCATTGTTAACCTGCAGGCTGCAGCGGTAGCTGCCGGGGTGCAGGGGTGTTGCTGAAGCGGGCACTGAAGCAGCCGGTATGTAGCGGAAAGTCTATAGCGGCTAGCTGTAGTGGGCAGTTGTGATGGCCAGCTGAGGCAATGAGTTGGCAAGGTGGGAGGTGAAGGGGGAAGGGGGAAGGCTGTCCAACAACATACCGTAGCTCTTTGCATGACCCAGGGCATACGCGCACAGGGCCCATGTTTGAGTTACCTTTGGGACATGGCTATGACTATGCAGTCAGTGTGGTGGTGGTGCTGATGGATTTTGGAGACTGTATGCGCTGGGTGGAGTGGTTAGCGCGACACGGTCACATAGAGGACAGGATGCATGGCGGATTCGTTGTGTGGGAGGAAGGGTTGTGGGTTGAGAGAGGGGAGTTAAGGTTGCAGTTGGAGATGGACCTGAAGTGCAGTGCAGGCAGGACAGGCTGGAATTTTGTTAGGCTTGTGTGCTGTGCAGTTCTGCTGCTGCTGGTGGCTCCTGAAAACTGCTTGAGAAGACACGAATTATGCAAGTGATGCAGTAGGTGGAGTGAAGCGTTAAGCATACTGACATATACCGTCATCGCCCGGATATAAGACATATATGTCTTATCTCGTACACGGGCAAAAATGCTTGAGTTATCTTGTAAACGGGATGGTTTAGGGTGTCTTATAAGTCTTATAAATGGAAACCTTTTAAACCACTTAGAAATATTTTCCGTACTTCTTGAAAAAGAGTTCCTCATAATGAGTGTGGATGTTGCGAGGGTGCCACTTCGGCAACCACTGCCCGGGACGCCACGTCATGGAGAACACCTGCAGAGGCAAATTAGGTAGGTCCTGGGTCAGCGCGTGGAGAAATTCGCGCTTCGCAAGGGTAAAAATGTACGCGTTATTTCAACTTTCGCTATAATATATTGAAGTTTCGATTATAAGACATATATGTCTTATCTCGTACACACAAATAGGTGTCTTATAATGAGGCTAGCCTGTTTATAAGAGACACCCGTATAGTAGACAACCCCTGTCTACTATTCAACACTGTCTTATATCCGGGCGTTTACGGTATACATATGGATGCATAGCGTTGCATAATGACTTGTCCACTTCTGGCACTTCCGGTCCAATCTTCCCAGGAAGGTATGCGTGGATCGGGTGGTGCGCTGTTCTGTCTGTAGGTTTGGTGCCTTGCGCTGACCAGACACTCATGATGTTCAGCGAAGAGGGTGACAAAAAAATTTTGTTGATATGGCACTCCCTTAGAGGTACCATATGCTGCTAGAAAGGGAACAAGTCAATGGTACCGTACATTAAACATGATTTTTTTGAAAGTGTGTAACACTTTCTAAAAATGTGTATTGTGAAAGCGCAGCTTACTGTAGCGAAGCAAGGCAACGGCGAATTACTATTCGCCGAGTACATAACGAGGGTTGGAGGCCTTTTGGCCTCCACCCACGTCTTCATTTCGGAACTTTGCAGTTCCATCCTATTCTCGTCCAACCACCTCGTCGTTCCACTTTCTCCTAGCATTCTGGTTCAACTTTCTCATTCGTAGCTCTCTTTTTCTATAAAAGGCGATGGCGCTTTGCACCAGAATGCCGATTTTAAGAGGGCTTATACGCGCCCACAGCTGTACCTTTCTGCCAGCGGGCGCGCGTGACCCAGCGGGCCCTGACTAAGTGACAAAATCGCCTCAGGCGCGCCTGAGACGAGATCGCCAATGGTGCGCCTGAGACGAAATTGCCTGTGGTGCGCTTGAGACGAAATAGCCAGCGCGCCCGAGACAAGATTGCCAGCTCCCCTGAGACGAAATCGCCAACTCCCCTGAGACGAAATCGCCAGCTCCCCTGAGAAGAAATCGCCAGCTCCCTTGAGACGAAATCGGTAGCTACCCGGAGACGAAATCGCCATAGGCACGCCTGACGACAAAAGCGCTAGTGGCGCGCCTGACGACGAAACCGCCAGTGGCGCGCCTGGCGACGAAATTGCCTAAAGAGATTGCCACCAACGAGACTGACAACGAAATCGCCACCAACGCGACGGATGACGAAATTGCCACAGTCGAGCCTGACAGATTGCAAGGGCGCGCCTGCAAAAATCGTGGTGTGACAAGGCGAAAACGCCACGGACATGACGGGACGCCTCCGCTACATCAACCCCTGCAACTTATTCCGGCAATGCGGACGTGACGCCTGCACCGTTATTATCATTTTTTATTGCCACACGGGTATGTGTTTCCATTTCTTCAACTTGGTCAATAATTATATGTCTTCTCTGCTCTGGTTTTTTGGATTGTCGCGCGTTTCATTGATCACAGTTTGCAGGAATATCTGCGCACGGACGAGTGTCAACGCTTGGCACATCCCCGCGTCGTTTCCCAAGAGGGGAAGGGGACCGAGGGTCCCGGCTGGCCAGAGGGCCGTTCCCCATGGGGGGAAGGGGACCGAGGGTCCCGGCGGGCGAGAGGGCCGTTCCCCATGGGGGGAAGGGGACCGAGGGTCCCGGCGGGCCAGAGGGCCGTTCCCCATGGGGGGAAGGGGACCGAGGGTCCCGGCTAGCCAGAGGGCCGTTCCCCATGGGGGGAAGGGGACCGAGGGTCCCGGCTGGCCAGAGGGCCGTTCCCCATGGGGGGAAGGGGACCGAGGGTCCCGGCTGGCCAGAGGGCCGTTCCCCATGGGGGGAAGGGGACCGAGGGTCCCGGCTGGCCAGAGGGCCGTTCCCCATGGGGGGAAGGGGACCGAGGGTCCCGGCTGGCCAGAGGGCCGTTCCCCATGGGGGGAAGGGGACCGAGGGTCCCGGCTGGCCAGAGGGCCGTTCCCCATGGGGGGAAGGGGACCGAGGGTCCCGGCTGGCCAGAGGGCCGTTCCCCATGGGGGGAAGGGGACCGAGGGTCCCGGCTGGCCAGAGGGCCGTTCCCCATGGGGGGAAGGGGACCGAGGGTCCCGGCTGGCCAGAGGGCCGTTCCCCATGGGGGGAAGGGGACCGAGGGTCCCGGCTGGCCAGAGGGCCGTTCCCCATGGGGGGAAGGGGACCGAGGGTCTCGGCTCGTGACATGCGGAGATAGAGAGAGAGAGACACGAGAGCTGGCACACGGGTCATTGCGCTAAGGAAGGAGTATATGCACATTGCGACAAGCTTGTGCTATGTAGAAAAAAGGGGACTTACCGTATGCCATCCTTGGCTGCCGGTATAATGCCTTTCAAAATCGTTTTTGTCCGTACGTGTCCTTGTATGTGCCTTTGTATTTGATTGTTAAAAAATGCTCGAATTGGAAGTCTTGGTTACAAACCACCTTGAACATGGCTTGAGAAAAGATTGTTCTTGTCGAAATGAATCTACAACGGCTTTAAGGCCTTCATATGCTGCCCTCGACGCATACAAGGAACAGAGATACGGTACACCTGCTCTCACATTGAGTCCGAGGTTTGTGATCGCTTATTTCTGCCTTGTTGTGATGTTTCTGGAACTCCCACATTAGATGACCTACTCATGATTGATTCTAGGTGTGATGTATACATAGTACGCAGTTCTGTGAAAATATCCTGGCTGGAACATTTATTCTTGTACGGGTTTTTATTGCTCAATCATACGGTACATACGATCATTTACCATCCGGCGAACTTCTCAAAGTCCCCAATGGTAATACAAAGCCATACCTCTGCGTTTACTCTCCTCCTAATGCGGCTCTCGCGCCTCATGCACCCATCCCAAGCCATCCCGCCTGCTAATCCACTTGGTGATTTCATTCTAACGATCGTATGCCAGTCACGAGGCTTCATTGGCAATCTTGGCCTCTCATGTGCTCTCGCGGACAATCGCGAACGTGAAAAGCAGCTCTTGACAATAATTCTAGAGTAGTCGCTAACTCCGTCATACAAAAATCACTTGCATGCAATGTCGCTCTGTTATCCACACGTCAATCACGCGGCATCATCGGGAGACGTCAACATCCACGCCCTCGGCAGCTAACATCAACCACCAGTTTCAACCACTCTTCTGCTGCGCCAACAACCAGGGACATCTACATAAATGGAACGAGCAACCGTCATACACAACATTCCGAAACCCACCGGCATGGCGATCTGTCAAATGTTGTAGCCTATAGTGAGGTTTGTCTTAGGGGGTACAAAACTTAGGGTTAGCTATATGTACCCCAACCAACATCAATGCACCATCCATTCTTCATTCTGACATGGTATCAGTTAGGTTAGGATCCTGTGGGATCCCGTTCCTCCGTTCTCCGTTCGAGCCTCCCGAGCCTGATCCTAGCTCTCATTCGTCCCGGTTCCGTTGTTACCGCGCGTAGTGCCGCGCCTAGCGCCACTCCTAGCGTCGCGTCCTACCCGCCCTTTCCCCCTCGTCACGTCCCTTTCCCCCCGTCGAGTCGCGCCCTTTTCCCCCCGTCGCGTCGCGCTCTTTCCCCCCGTCGCGTCGCGCCCTTTCCCCCCGTCGCGTCGCGCCCTTTCCCCCCGTCCCGTCGCCCTGCCCCGTCCCGTCCCGTCTCCCCGTCCCGTCGCCCTGTCCCGTCTCCCCGTCCCGTCTCCCCGTCCCGTCGCCCTGCCCCGTCCCGCCCCGTCTCCCCGTCCCGTCGCCCTGTCCCGTCTCCCCGTCCCGTCTCCCCGTCCCATCGCCCTGTCCCGTCCCGTCCCGTCTCCCCGTCCCGTCGCCCTGCCCCGTCGCGTCGCCCTTCCCCGTCCCGTCGCCTCTGCTCCGTCGCGTCGCCCTGTTTCGTCGCCTCGCGGCCCCCCGTTCCGTCGCCACCGCCCGCGCCAGCGCCAGCAGCAGCTACCGCCAGCGCCAGCAGCAGCTACCGCCAGCGCCAGCAGCAGCTACCGCCAGCGCCAGCAGCAGCTACCGCCGCCCTGCCCTTTCCCCCGGCCCGTCGCCCTAGCCCGTTCTTCCGCTGCGACTAAGTCCCCCCTAATTTGCCTCTTACCTCCTACTGTTACTCGCCTGCTCGTTCGCGTTAGTTCTCGCTATGGCGACTCCGCGAGTTCTTCGTTTCGACGCTGACGGTAGACCTCTTGACTTCTCCGTCTGGCTTCTTCGCGCTCGCCGTCTGTTAGAGAGTCAAGTCCAGGGGGGCGAGACCCTCTGGTCGCACGCTACTGGTGACCTCCCCGAGCCCCCCGAGCCTGCCGCTTTAGGTCCTGCCCCTGACGATGCTGCTACGGCTCGCTTTGCCCGTCAGCGCGCTGACAGGACGGCTTGGACGTCGCGTGACGCTGCGGCCTGCATCGCACTCAGCAGCCTCCTCCCTGAGTCAGAGGAGGTCCACTTCACTCAGGTTCGCACCGCTGCTGCGTACCTCACTGCGATTAAGGCCCGCTACTCTACTCCCGCTACTGTCTCTCTTGGCCGTCTTTTCCTCCCGTTCCTGTTTCCTGATCTCGCCTCGTTTGAGCGCTCTGCTGACTTGATCGCTCACCTCCGCTCGCTCGACGCTAGTTACCGCGCTGCTTGCACTGAGGCACAGCTTGCACTGCTTCCTCCCCCTATGGCGATTACTATCTATTTCATCGCCACTAGCCTCCCTGACCGCCTTGCCTCCGTTCGCGACGCGCTTCTGCTGAAGCACCCTAGTGAGCTCACAGTCGATGTCCTTGAGTCTGCACTCAAGGACGTCGAGAGCAACCTTCGCTCGGTAGCCGCTGCCTCTGGTGCTGTGCCCCCCCCACTCTTCCACGGGTGCACAGTCCCGCAGTTACCCACCTTTACTGCCTCACTTGCCACTGCCGCTACTGACGCGACTGCAGCTGCTGTTACGACTGCGTCGCGGTCCCGCGGTAGGAGTGGCAAGAAAGGCGGTTCTGGTGGTGGTAGTGGAGGTGGAGGCGGAGGTAGTGGAGGTGGCGTTGCGCCTGGCGGCGGTGGAGGTTCAGGGCCTGGAGAGGCGCCTCGTGCAGTGACTGGTGACTCCACTGCGCCTGCTAGTGGTGGCGACGCCCGGGTTCGTCAGTCGCCTCCTGTACTTCCTGCCCCGGTTGGTGGAGCAGCGGCGTGGTACCAGGCTCAGCGTCAGCAGCAGCTTCTGCAGCACCAGCAGCCCCTCTCCTCCCAGCAGCCTCAGCAGCAGCAGCGGCAGCAGCTGGCTCCAGGGTCGGGGCTGCGTCAGACCCAGCGCGGTGCTGCTTACCCTCCCTGCACCTACCAGGTTCTGACAGGCCCTCGTCGTGGCCACCCTTGTGGCCGGTTTCACCCCCCTGGTCAGTGCTTTGCTCAGCTCACTGACACGGTTCGTTTGGTCTACGGGGTTGGTGCTCCTGCCCCTGACTGGCTGCCTCTTGTTCAGCGCTACGGCTCCGCTCTGTGGGGCATGTCTGCTGAGCAGTTAGTTGATCTGATTGGTACTCCCCATGCTATGTATGCTGTTGTTGACTCTAGTGTTTCTGACTCTGCTTACTCTGGTGTTGTTAGCTTAGGTGCTAGCCTTGCTCAGTTGCCTGTTGCTAGTGTAGGTTCTTGTGTAGACTCTAGTCCAGCGGCTACCTCAGAGGACGGTTCGCTGTCGTTCACGCTGGACTCTGGAGCCTCTCACTGCTTCTTTCGTGACAGCACGACACTTACGCCTCTTCCTGCGCCTGTTTCTGTGGCGCTGGCTGATCCCACTTCGGGACCAGTCACTGCGCGTCACACTACCACCTTGCCGTGTCCGGCTGCTCCTTCTGGGTCTCTCACTGGGTTTCACGTCCCCTCGTTCTCCCGGAACTTGGTGGGCGTGCGACCCCTCGTGAGTCAGCACGTGGGTGTGTGGTTTGAGCCTTCTGGAGAGACTGCGGTGTGTGTTGACGGGGACTCTTACCAGCCCCTCGCCACTTTTGCTGCTGAGCCGGGCTCCGGTCTCTACACTCTTCACACTGGCCCGCGCGCTCAGCAGCGACTGCAGCAGCAGCAGCAGCAGCAGCAGCAGC